TGGATAACTTGTACCATGGGCAACTCGTACCTCAAGTTAAGACCACTCGCTCATGTTATCAATTCGATTACAATTTTCTTGTTCTTCCTTTTCAGCATGCTTAAGATCAGATTTGACAAACATATCAAAGAAAAATCTTCATAAATCTCCTGGAGAGATCTCGAGCGCCAGCGTGATTTTTGCCTGTAGGGGTTTTCCTGAAGATATACCCCATATATATTTGGGGTTTTCCTGAAGATATACCCCATATATATTTGCAATGGACGTTTACAATGACACACACGATCATGCCAAAAGTGCAAAAAAAATTTCAAAGAGACATTGAGCCATTTCATGCAACAGGGTCATTAGAAGTGAGTATCGTACCTTGACATATCACAAACTGATTTTTATTGACACCATTAAACCATACTAAATTTTACACTATTCGAATATCAACTGGACTTTCGGTTATGCAATGTGTTGCTGTGACAGAATAAATTCAGAGCGAACCTGATTTTTAAGTTCGTGAGTCTTGCTTTAAAAATTTTTTGCAAGCTAATGACCATCAGGATGGCCTTTAGTTCAACGCTGGCCCCATATTTATGTGTTTCACATTCTTGTGTAAACCCCGATTGCAAGAACATCATGATTTGTTTTGCACGAAGAAAGGAAATAACGAATGTTCACTGCTCGAAAAATGCTACTGCATATTTGATTACATAAGATCAGTGACAAAATAATCCAACAAACGTCTGTTTCCATCACAAAAGCTCACTGGCGTTCCAAGTGTACGACCCTGAACAATAAGGAAAACTAAGTTGTGGGAGGAAACATTCGTGTATACAGTCGACTCTCGACTGTACGAAACTTTTGGGACTTTTTAAATTAGGTCGTATCATCCAAACCTCGTCTTAAGCAAAAGCTGCTATCCCGCTCGTCGCATGTATCAACGATCGAATGTAGGGTTAAGCGTGCATCATGCACAAGTATGCACGTACGTGTGGTTGTCTGAACAATTAATAAAATGCAAGAACAGAGGAAGCAGACATTCCACCAGTCAAGTCGAGTTAGAGCGATGCCGTGTCACGTCCCCGCACGCCGTGATGAGATCTACATGTACATGTACAACGCAAGCAGGTGAGTACATTAACATTTTAGTTGGTAACCAACACCAGTGCTGCGCTTGTTGCACATAAAAATGGGCAGAAATCAGCTGTTGGTGGTGTGGACAGTAGAGGGCGAATATTGAGTATATTTTAATTAGAAACGGCGTGTGGGTTTGGCGAAAAAATATTTAATTTAGAAAGGATGCAATTTTTTCTTCAAAAATTGTGGATGTTATTTTCTTAAACACGTTTGGACTGAAAACCAAAGTTTAGTCATGGTTTCTGATGGAAATTTAAAATGTGAATTTATAAAACTTTCCAAATCGGATCGGGCGATATTTTCTTAAAATGGAAATTTATAAAATATTCAAAATCGGATGGGGCGATATATTTCATGTTGAGGTGGAAGAGAGTAACTTTTTTTTTTACTTTTCAAAATTGTTTTCCTGAGGGAGTTTAGTCCGGGGAAATTTTTTTTTGGGGGGGAGGGACAGTGGGTGTATTCTATTACGTAGGTTTATCAATCTGAAGATGATTTATCTCTTTTGAAATTGTAGTGGCTCTGGAAAGAGCCATTCTGGTTTTTGGAGTTCTTCAAAAGAAGTCTGTTATTTTCTTCTTGGACAGTTTGCTGTGCTGCTTCTGGGTCAGGTGGTCAATGATCTTCATCTTCATCGGATTAAAGCCACCTGAAGAAAAGCAAGGGGAAGAAGAAATACTGAACTTTGGGTCTTGCTTTCATCTGATCACTCTGATGTCCATCAACCAACGCATTGAGTTCATCCACACTGCAGTACATCTGTACCTGAACAACAGATAGTCAGGGGTGATGTAACTTCTAGAAAATTTGCTATTTCATCTGGTGTCCCACAGGGTTCCTGTTTGGCCCCCTTTCTTTTAACCTGATAAGTAACCAGATTCCCAGGTAGCGGAGCTACAGAGAGTTCAGAATGCTTGTGCCAGACTTGTGTGTAACTCCGCCAAATACTGCCACATTTCCCCCATGCTGGTTACATTACACTGGTTGCGTGTTCGACAAAGAATTGTATTTAAAATACTTTTGATTACATTTAAGGCCTTGCATGGCTTAGCACCAGGTTAAATCTCTGAATTACTAGTCACTAAATCCCAGCCACAGTCTTTGTAGTTCACAAGACAGGCTGATCCTTAGCCACCCCTATCGTAGATTCAAGGCTACCCTCGGAGACCATGCATTTGTTTGTGTAGCCCCTTAGGCTTGGAACAATCTGCCCTTTCATGTGAGAAATGCCAAGTTCGTTGACGCATTCAAGATTGTTCTAAAACTCATTTCTTCAAAGAAGCCTTTTCCAACTCCTAGTTTTACACCTGAGCTAGTGATGAGTATTGTCATGCGCAGTCGAGTATATTTGTATAGTATCTGGGCAATATAAAACGTTCCTTATTATTTATTATATCATATCTTTTGTCCCCTCTACTTTTTTTTCTGAATCCTTGGTAAACAATGTAGGCGAGTGGAGCTACATTTGGTTCAATATGTTAGGTAAAAATTGCAGATCAAAAAAATGGAATAAATTTTTCAAAAGCACCTGATAAAAATTAGTTGAAGTGGTCAGAAATTGCCTTAGATTGCATCACAAAACATCTAGAATCCAAAATGTCCCATCCCGGTCTTTAAGCGGGCCTCAGATCCCCCTTAGCTGTTAGGGCTTGGCTCTCGTATCAGTTCCATTCGGGTTGACGGAAAAGGATATATTGAACGACGTGCGTCATATATTATGCTCAGAAAGTGTACAATGTACACTACGTAGTTCATATTTCATGCGTCAGGCGTGCATTTCATGCACATGACGTTGCTCTACGTGGCCTCCTTTTCCGTCTACCTTCTAATCAAGGTTATGTTCCCCCACTTTCGAAAAGTGATTGACGCCCGTAGACATGTTATCACTTTCAAATAGCTAATAAACCAATGCAAGGCGAAATTAGTGACGTACGTGTCCTTTGCTCTCACTATTTCCTTGTAGTACATGTCGCCTAAAGAGACATAGGCATTCAATCATACGAACTGATCGAGTTTTCCTTACATATTGAAAACTGCTCACTCTCATATACATTACCATATCTAAACTATTGAATCCAGCACTCTCCCCCCCCCAAAAAAAAATCACTGCTGTTCATCCCATCAAACTCGGCTGCAAATCACCCCCAGCAGAGGGCATTAACAGTAGAAGCTGGCGATAATTCACACGTGGATCTTCAAGAGCAGTCATCCAATCAGTATAAATATAGTAATATGAGATTAGAGAGTCACCCTAAACGTACATAAAACATCCCCAAGAGCTCCCCAACTCTTAGAGGAAGTAGTCTTAAATACGCCCAGATCTTAACATCAGTAAAAGAACAAAAAGGTATCCTAACCGTTGATTGACTTCAATGAAAACGCACTTTAACAGTCAACATTCAACACAATTGTAAAGAAAACCCTATTCGAGTGAACACCAAAGAAACGAACCCAACCCTAGTGACCCTGACCAACTCAATAGTACCAGGATGATTTTGTTATTCCATCTACTGATGCTGGCAAAACAAATTGAACTGTTCAAGAAAATGTGAAATTTTAGAGTTCAACTAAAACTATTGCGTAACTAACCAATATAGATAATAGTCTACAAGTATATTTCAAGAGAAACAAAATGTAAACTATTTCACTTGATGATACCCTGGAGATAGATATGGGGCTTTATCTTCATGCACTCTCGAATCATAGCAACAAACAATGTGATAAATAACTGTATTGCACGTTCCATATCAAAGAGCAAAACAACACATAAAAACACTCTGCTGGCAAACAACTCTGCAACAAAGTACAGAATCGTCTCTGTCAAGAAAGAAATCTTTGAAAATCTCAAGCCCGGGGCCTGATATTATATTACATATCATAGGATGCACAGTAGTAGCCTTGAAGAGCCATGTACATTGATACGCAACGACGTCTCTCAGTAAGTCTGCTGCGAGTTGAATTTTAATAAAAATATCGTATACTTAGTTATATCATTGCGTATAAACATATTTTGAATTTCTGAGGCTAAAGACAGCGCACCTCGTAATTTAGGGCAAGCTTTTGCATAGCGACCATCATCGCTGGAATGGACTGCTTCCCTTGTGAACAGGGGCAATGGTGTCTCTTAGGCTAAGCAAACGCTTGCCCTGAATCACGAGTGATAGCTACAGTATCTTTGGTATAGAGAATTCAAATTGTAGTGTCCACGTGATTTAAAGGACTCGGTTTACCAGATGTTATTGAAACAGTGGCGTAAATCTGTGCTGGAAATTGGCTGGGATTGGAAATTGGGAAAGGTGGGGGGATGACTTGCCTGACCTTGGAAATTTGAAAAGCTGGGGGGAGGCCAGTTACCAGTGCAGCCCGTCTAACCAGGTAATTAATCCATTTTCTGATGGGCTCTCGACCAACCAGAAGACTGGATTTGGTCTCACGGGACCCTTATTAACATAAAATATGGACACACAATATTCCATTATACACGAGGGCGTAAGGTTGGAGGGTATAAGGTACAGGAAAGTACCATTTTATGTATGTTTTGTGTATTATAGTGGGTGATATCATTATTACAGCTTGAAAGAACAAAGTGTTTTCCTCTGCAGGAATTTTATTTACATTTGTGCATAGGCATAGTGTATTTTTAAAGTACTGTACATCTTCCCTAACCACTAAGGGTGGGTGTTAAAATTATATTGAGATCGGAGGGTTGATGACTGTCACGTTTAAAATAAATAAATAATAATAAGAATTAAAAGAAACGAGAAATATAATGTAAAATTGAAAATCAAGAAATACAGAACTAAGGAAACACAAATTCAGTACCCAAAGAGGAAGGCGGCTTGTGGATCCCTTATTACACACAGGAATACCCTCTTGAACTGTTTACCCTTACGTATATACCAGGCATTACAAGTGCTATACACACTCAAGACTATTGTTACCTAACACATCCCCCCCAGAAGTCTGTAACGAATTCCTGAGATTCCGATCAAACAATGACCAACACAAAGGTGGGGGGTTCTCTCCGTCCCACATCTTGCTTCAAATGTTTACGTACGCGCTCCACTCCAGCGGGGATCGATAGAAGACAAACAACCGGGCATGTTCCTTGTCTAATCACCCACTGATCTACCGGTCCGAAATTTCGCGGGGTTTTCAACTAGTCGCGTGCATAGGCCTATAATTCCCCATACAATAAAATTTGCATGTCTATAGTACAGCGCGAAACCATAAGGTTTCGTCGATACACGAATAGCGTAACAGCCTTAAAATGTGCACTGCACTAAAGAAATCGTACACACTGTACAAAACTGTAACGATAAGTACAGTACACTGTTCAATCCACAGTTCTCTCTCTTATCCCAAGAATAAAAGAATCCAAGCCAGTTAACGCAAATCGATTATAGTTCCGTACGCCTTACTGAACAGACCGTCATGTGCAGCCTATGTGGAAAGTATTGTGACATGAACTTGAAGCTGGCGTTTGGAGAGTTTGGAGATGTCCGGATGGTCTGAACATCATTGCAAAGTCCAGGAGAGTTCGTTTTAATCTGGCAACATCGCAACCTTTTCAATCATTAGACCCTCTGTGAGAAAATGCCAAATTGTTTACTACCGGTAAGTCTGTAAATAAGATGATGAGATTGCGTGCTGTCGTTCGACACTGCGTAAAAGGAATGGCAGTAACGGTATAAACTTTCCAGCGACCGTCAACTATTTCAGTTGCCCCTTCTGTGCTTTTTATTTGCATAAAATAAATAACAAAATCTTCGAAATGACCATGATGTTAAAAGTACAGCATATCAAGCACAGTTACTTTCAAACACATTAAAACAATCGACTTAATATAACAGTCGAAAGGGGTGTTGATTTGCCTTTTTCTGCTTGGTTTTTCATTTTCACGAGTATCCATCTTTACATTCTCAATATAAATAGAATACTGCAAGAGTGAAGGCATCACAAAACCGATTTTAAATTTTCATTAGTCTCAAACTAATCGTCCTTAACTATCGCTGTCTTCCTCTTTATCTGGTTACTCATCTTCTTGAAACAGTCCATCATATTTAGCTGTGTGTTCAGGCATTACTCTGTTTAAGGCTTTGTTTACTTCCATGCCCCTGTTTACTTCGTCTTGAATGTCTTCCAAAATATCCCGGTATCATTATCTTCTAGATACACGTAACTTGACGAAAAGTCCTTGTACCTGTTGAAAACGATTTGCTTAACTGTCCAAAGGGTCTTCCTATTGGCCTTTTCCCTGGCTTGATCTGCACGCATACCCCTTTTGATATACTTTTTAAAACATTTTTTCACTCAAAATTTCGCCAGTCGCCTCCACTGACTCGTTTAACCAATCTGAATAGGTGACACTGTCTTTCAAATCTGAAGTAGACTCATTCTCATCCAAAGATTTGTCATATCTCCATTTCTGCGTCCGATTCATCGTCTTCGATAATCGTCATTTCACCCTGCGTAGATTCAGTTCCACAAATTCCTGGTCCAAATTCTTCAAATCTACGCCTTTTGAAATCGGATTCAGAATAACACGTCAGGCTATTTAGAGTGAAGAACTTCAGGAACAGTGTCAACTTCAACCTTTTGGATTCTTCTGCTCCATGCCCATTTCCCACGTCTCCGAAGGTTATATCTCCGCCCAAATCCTTTTTCACACCAATTACAAGAATGGGATTTGACTGCAGAAATAACATTCAAGTCGACCCTATGAAGGACAATCTTCAAATGACAAGAAACAGATGAAATAGTTGAATGTAACTGCTTATTTCACTGTTCATTTACTCATTTCACAGCTCATATGAATAACGTGTATCCACTCTTCATGTTAATGAGGGTCCCATGGGGCCAAATCTAGCCTTCTGATTGGTCGAGAACCCGTCAGAAATTGGATTAATTACCTGGTTAGACTAGCTGCACTACTGATGTTCCTGATAAAGATGTAATGTGTGAATCTTACCTCAGAATGGCACATTTAAAGCTATTAAAATTGCTTTCCCTTTTTAGTGATATTATAAACATTTTAGTCATTAGGAAATCCTAAAAATCTTCACAATCTGCTTTAATATTTTTGCTCAAAAAAGTGTATGTATGGGGGATATACACCCCCATCCCCGGGATTTACGCCCATATTCAAATTTAACTGGCAAAAGGCGTAAAGTCTCCTTTCCATACGGGCGTCAACGCTTCGCTCGGCTCCCAGCAACTGACAAGGACGCTGGCAAGGGCTGACGGCTTTGCCCTGTGGTTTAATTAGCAATTGGTTACATTGTGTAAGACTTGTGACCGCGAGGTTATCACGTCCTGTTAATGAAGCGTTGTTCAAATTTTTTGGGGGAGGGGATGCGCCAATGGTAATGCTTTAGCGCGGACAATGTTTCGCTATATGATAAAAACATGGCTTTGTACACAGTCGCAGTGTTGTAATTTATCTTTTCACTAAGTATCACAAACCATGTGTCTTTTGGCAGTACCCCACAAATCATTGGTTATCTTGATCGATTTTAGATGAACAAAAAAGTGTAGTGAGAATATTTTCAATGCAATGAGGAAGGAAAAGAAAATAATATCTAATTGATAACCGCTGCTTGTGTAACGCATTGAGCGAGCTCGCGCGCCCCGCAGAAATTTGCCCACAATGCTCTGCGCGTCGTTAGCTGTGATCCCCGTGAGGTATTTCCTTCACTAAAATTGTGCTAGGCCATCAGCCCTTCCCAGCCCTCTGTTCGTGCGCTAGGTGACGAGCGAACGTCAACACTGCAGGCAATTTTGAGGGCCGAACGCAACTCACACGTGTGTTATATTAACGGAGCCGATTTTTGTGTCTGTGAAAGTGGAACGCATTAACGCATCGTCTACACTACGCACCCAAAAAACGTGCATATGGAAAGGCGGGGAACCAGCGTTTTGTTGCAAACTTTCGTTTTCGTTTTGGTTCATTCTATTTCTGTTTGGTGCTTTCAATGCGTTCTTGGCATCTTCTGATGCTTGATGGATTCAAATTAGTACAAGTTGATCTGCGTCAAACGTATGGTAATGCCTTTCTTTTCTAATTCGTTTTGGGCAATCATTTTCATTAACTGTCTGATTGAGGTATTCTTAATTTTTCTTTCCTTTTTTGTAGGGTTTTCTTTTAAAAAGATTGGGTCTGTGTAATATAAAACAAACCAACCAGGAATTTAATGAAATGAAAAGAGCTGTGGAATGTTCTTTTTCACTTTATATCTCTTGGGAAGGGTGATAGAATTTTCTTCGTCACCGATGATCTTTTGTGATATTTGATTGATCATAATATGTAGCCTTTTATAGAAAGACTACAATAAGCACGAGGCCAAACTTAGATATTCAGCGCTACTGTTTCAAAGCCAACTCATCAGAACACTTTCACAGAGTGATGAACATGTATTGTATACATTGGGATACCTCAGACTTTTAATGGATAATGCAAGCCCTGCCTTAAAAATGATATGGCCTTCCCATCGATGAAGAAAATGCCCAACAACTGTTCTTTTATGTCACCTAGGAAACTTATATGGCCCATGTGATAATTCAAGTTGAAAGTATACCTTAGACAAAGACAAAGCATGGTCATTCCATTTTTCAATTTACATTGAATGAACCATTGAAATCAGCTGGAAGACTTGTACATTCAAACAGCTTCCTGCATGCTACAAAGTCATCATGCCTTAGCTTTCCTTACGGGCATTTTAGCCTATACTTTGTGAACCCCATGGAAGATTTCATATGCCTCCATTTATTTTCTTTTGTGGTAATCTTTCATGTTTGTGCCTGTTGTGCCTTTTCTATACGAGATTTGTTCTTCAAATTCGTCTTGTTGTCACTCTAACACCTTTTAAAATTGTTCTACACCTAATGTTATAACAAGTTTTAAAATTAAGCTGCGCAGAAACGTCACATAATCAAATCAAATTGTTGCATTCGTCTGTCAATTTTAAATTGATTATTTTAATTTATTCCTTTCTTTGCAGGTTCTTGACTGATAACAAGCAGAATGGATTCAGTGGTAGTGTTTGTGGCTATTTGGTGGACTGCTAACATGGTGGCCACCATAGCCTCGAAGACAGCAATAAGTGGCACCAAACCTGACACCATTGAGAGTATGACTACTTGGACACCAGCTTTAAAAGATCTTAGATGGCTTGAATTGACTATGCTGCAACACGTCCTCGGTGCGCTGTTCTCCAACACGTGGCTCTTTGCCGTTCGTGGTGCGACTGCCTTCCCTGTTGCTTCTGTCAATCGCAAACACATGCTACTAGCAGCTATCGGCAATGTGATCGGAAATCTCGCCACCAATGCGGCTTTTGCTGCAGTTAGCTCAAGTCTGACTCAAGTCATCAAATCTTGTGAACCGATCTTCACCTTTGTTTTTACACTGCTATTTTACAAGGGTAAGGGAAACTTGAACTGCTCTTTGTTCATATCGATCATCGCCATGGTTCTGGGGACGTGTATGTTCATCTCTGGAGAGCTATCCTTTAACATCTGGGGACTTACTGCCGCAGTTATTTCGAACATTGCTTTTCCGATACGCAACATCTATCTGAAGAAGTTGGGAGAGTTGTGGGAAGGTCCTCTTCAGAAATTTGCAGCAATCTCCAACTTCAGTGTCTTGATTCTGCTTCCATTTGCAGTCGTTTACAGCCAAAGCATGAGTGCATTACTCCCCATCGAGAGTTATACTTCTGCCATCTTTCATTTAATTTACAATGCTGCCTCCTTAACAGTGCTTCAAGAATGTAGTCCCTTGGTACATGCAATACTGAACCTCTCAAAAAGAATGTTTGTTATTCTTGCAAATATGATAGTCTTTTCTTCTCCGTTCACCTTATCGACGATTGCTGGTCTTGTATTTATTTCCACGGGACATTACATTCACCAGATAAGCCGCGGTTCCCTGCCGATGATCAGTAGGCGATTAGTCAAGAAGTGTCTCCCTCTTGCGATCGTTATAGTCTCGTCATCTTTGTATTTGTTTGTATTCATGTACTCCACTAAGCCCGTGATAAACCTGTTACAAATACGACAAACAGCCTACACCCCCCAACTAGCAACTACTGCTTGGGTCTATGAAAGACCAATACCGCACAACGTTGTGGAAAATATTAACTCATTTCAGACAAAGAACCCCGGATTGACAGTGACAGTATTCTGCGGTTCATCCCAGTGTATGCAGGCAGTACAGGATTTACGTAACCCAGGTGTCACGGTCAAATTTCTAGTGCTCACGGATATTGTCAAGAACACAACTCTGGAGCACTGGTTAGTTCGACATCCACTCCACAAGGTTGTGACGGGTGTGAGCTTTGAAGATCACGTTTACGAAGCGGTTAGGCTAGCCTTGTTGTGGCATTATGGTGGTGTTCATTTTAACCCCTTGGTTAAACTTGACCAGTTCACTATCCCTAAGGTCAATGGGGCATGGGTTAGTATTGATACAAATATCACAAGGAGCACGCGCGGAATTCTCAGCGTTTCCCAGTTTCGAGTTCAGAGCACTTTCATAGCGAATCTTACTGAGGCGTTCTGTCGTGAATATTCTCGGAATGTTACCAATGTAAATCCACGACTGTCGCCTAAGTTTGATTTTGAGGCAGTTGTTAACGATATTTACAACCTATCCTGCACGTCTAGGAAACTTTGCCCCGAGGGCGTCGCAATTAATCTCTCGAGAATCCCTTTTGGAAATAAAATGAGACGCCACTTTGGTACACTTTCATACGACAAACGAGTACGGGTACTAGAATATCTAAATATCGGGGACGAGATACAGGGCATTCCTGGGCTTCAATTCTTACCTTTCATGGATCACCTCCTTGAACGATATAAACTTGGAGAATCAAAAGGAGAACATCATATCCGTGCTTTCTTCAACGCTTGGTGGGGAGAACCAACAATGATGTGGCCACCACCGACAAATATTGATCCCATTATGTTGTCCATGCACATAGCTCCTCAAATCAGGTCTGTTATATTGAAAAATGTCACCTATCTGCAGTCTAAAGCACCGATAGGGTGCAGAGATAATAACACTCTGGCATTTTTGAGGAGAAACAACGTCGATGCTTACCTTTCAGGCTGTTTGACACTCTTTATTAAGAGTCCAAACATTCAGCAAAAAAAGTCGGGGAAAATATTCTTGGTTGACTTGAGAGAAAAGTATGAGCGCCTACTTCCTTTAAGAATAGCACAGGAAGCAATTCGGCGTTACCACCTTATTATCGGTCAGGGCAGGACAAACAGCGTGGAACGTTTCCAGACAGCTTACAAGTTGCTTGAAGAATACTCGGAGGCACGGCTTGTTATCACACAACGTATCCACTGCGCATTGCCATGTGTTGCCATGGGAATACCAGTTATTTTCTTCAACAGCGAGTACATGCCTGGTGGTAACGTACCTGGCCACGGAAAAACTCCTTCCCCACGGGTGTCGGGACTTACACCTCTCTTTCACACCCTGGATGCTTATCAAATGTCCGAAATATCAATGGTTCAATGGCTACGCAATTTTAACTGGGAAACCCCACCACCAAACCCTGGTGTAAGCTTACGCATGCGTCTTCTGGCCTCAAACTGGAACTTGATTCGACAGGACCAAGCTTTGTACGACAGCGCGCGAAGATTTGGTCTGTTACCCGTGTCAGCTCCTGCCAAAAAGACTCCACAACAATTAATATTTCATGTCATTGTAAACAGTAACCGTACCAGCCTCGAGTGGCCAAAATGGCGGACCATTGAATCCCTTTTCTATCACCATCCTCATTCTAGGGTAATTGTTCACAGTAACAGTTTAAAGGAGAGCCAATTCGATGTATTAACGGAAGCTGGTTATGATGTTGAAATACTCAGTCTTGATGCTAGTATAGATGCTGTCTCATCAAATGGTGCAAGTAAAACAAAAAATCAGAAGAAACCCGAAAATAATTTTAACGAAACCCTGGCAAAGCTAGCCATACTGTTCCACTGGGGTGGGGTGTACATCGACGCAAATGTTATCCTCTTGAGACAACTTGATTTCTCGATGACAAATACTCTAATTTGGTCAAATGAAAAGCGGGATTCCTTCGATCTTTCTGTTATGAAGTTTCGGAGAGGTCATCCTTTCTTGAAGGCTGCTATTCAGAAAGGATCTGATTTACAAGCATTCCCACGAGGCAAACACAGTTCTACATTTATGGCATCTATATTTCACAGCTGGTCTAACAACTTAGAAAGCAGTTACAGAATTCACGCTTTGGCGTTAAAATCTTCGTTGAAGAAGTTTAATTCCAAAAATGCCAATGAGTGCTCAAAAACTGTACCCGGAACAGTTGATGACTCTTACATTAAACAGCTGCAACGTGAGGTATTTGGGGCTAAAGTTATGGGCTTAAATAACTCTAGCAAACTGAAAAGAGGAACTGTCTGTAAGCATTTACTCAATTCATTTTGTGTTTTATGTAACAATATCTACTAACATGCACAAGGTACATCTTTGTTTGTATGCGCCATTTTGGTACTCATAAATAAATTGTTCTTCTGCTATGGTTTGTTTCTTTACCACAATTGAGTCACTGGGTCGATTGATCTCAAATGCCAGTAAGGCCTCAGTATGCAAGATTTCTGTTCACTCTAGAGCTTCTCTCTAACGTGTACCTCTGTTGGTGTTTTGGTTACTAGTACATTTTAAGCACGCAGGAAAACTCGGACTAGATTAGTCCGTTTGAATGCATCAAGGAAATTAAACTCAGTGGAAAAACTGGAATTGCATTGTGCCACATTATTTTGTACAATGATCCCTATTTTACTTGATTCAATACTCAGTACAGGTTCAGAGGGGAAAGTTCCGGAATGAATGAGAATTTATTTGTGTTTATAATGCGGATATTCATTTCCGATCATTTTATTTTGATTTGTCACGATGTTGCTGTAAAATAGTTTCTTTCCCAGCAACAGTTACAGGTGGTAGCGTTTATGTATATTATTTGTTTTCTTTTGTATGTATTTAATTGAATGATTTGTTGTGAAAAGTTTGATAAAAAAAGAAAAAAGCACTTGAAGAGTCTTGCATAAACCTGTAAATTAAAAAAAAATTGTATAAGGTGGTGTGGTGTCGAAAAAAATAATCCAACTTTTTGATGTGTTTGTTATAATAACGTATTTATCACGATGTGTTTTGGATCACTTGTTTACGGTGGCACTTTATAATTCTCATCTTTTGGAGAAGTTTATCTCTGAGAATAGCCGACTGTCGTAGAGTTCTGTGTTTGAGTCATTAACAAAAAAGACCATTGAACATTCCTGAATTGTGCGTTAATTAGATATGAATACTTAATGATAAAGATTCAAGTTTTGCATTATTGTTTAACTGTCCATGAGGAGAGGGCAGGAAAGTATCTCAACTGAAGTCGAAATTGTACACATCTGATCACCAATGTTTCCACTGAGTAACAAAACTCCATCATGTACAAAATGGGCATTCCAGGATTTAATATAATTTTTATAAAACTCTAAATCAAAAATGTTTTGCCACTTCGTGAAAACACCGACGTTACACGTTACATATAAACTGACAAAGTTTGCATTGATCTTGTCAGAGTATTGTCATGCTTCATATTGGAAAATATTTGTGCCCCTTTAGGCAAATTTAATCTCTGGTGTGTAATGAAACTAAATGACGAGGGAACGTGATCATCTCCAATTGTCTTCATAAGTTTCCAATCTGATGCTTTCATCGTTTGTTTTTAACTTGGCAAAATACGTGTTTCTTGTCCAGAGGGGTTTGTGATCAAAAATTGCATTTCAAATTAAACTTGTTTTTTGTGTATGTTGTACGAGCCCATAGAGGGTACCAGTGGCCGCGATAACGCCATCAGTACTGACTTACTATTTCAAAGATGGGTTTGCGCCGGGGAGATGTAAATTAATTTGGATTTTGCCCTGCCCGACGTGTATGGAAACTGTATATTCGGTGTATGCCCCCGAAGGCTTGTGAAAAAAAACTCAAGCGTACTCGGGTGGGACTCGACGTCTGCACTATAGTAAGCTGTAAGACGTCTGCACTAGTAAGCAGGAGGTCGTGGGTTCGAGTCCCACCCGAGTACGCTTGTAGGTTTTTTCACAAGCCTTCGGGGGCAAACACTGAGTATACAGTGTTAAATACACGTTGGGCAGAAGGAAGTCTGCCAACCGATACAGATATTCCATCTTGTCCTCTCAATTTCACCTTGAAATCCAGAAATACTAGACGTGCTGTGGATAACAAAATGTTTATTTAATGTATTGTTAAGGGGCAATTACCACTTGGTTTAAGTTTCAGAAAATATGACGTGATGGTTTTTGAGGGTGTGTATGCCATGGTGGATAGACCAATGAGAACAGGTTGTCCAGCACATCAGCATTATTTATGGGGCTATCAAGTAACGTTACTGTTTAAAAGACTTCTGTGAGCCAACCTGCAACTAAAGTCATGTCTAATTTGGAGTATACAGCAGATTTCATCATAGGTATACCCTCAAAATAACGTTGAATCACTTCGTCTCTTATGAAAACCGTTAAGGAATCAAACATTGTAAATAATGTATTATTTACATTCCGTTCTGTGGGATATCGTGCAGGGACAGACAGAAATATTACATAGGATATAGTCACGCTGTAAAGATACGTCTAGAGTAACTAAGTTATCGAGAAAAACAATCTACCCCAACAAAAGTCTACTTTGTTAATTTATTTATGTAATCAAAATGGTATTATTTCATATACACGTCACTTAACTGATGTCAGGATATTATTTCTTCTTTCAAGTGGAGTTCAGCGCAACTGCAAATACGAATACGTGTACATCTTTTAGTTCTATTGCTAAATTGAGAGTCAGGCATGGTGGATCGATCGAACAAAGACATGTACATGTGAAACAATCAAGGGTCAAAGTTAAAAATACAACTGCGCAATCGTGACCAAAAAAAAAAAAAACCACGGGCGACGCACGACGGACGACACACGACGGGCGACGCACGACGGCAGATATGGAATTCCATAACATGGCGTTTCATGTCGTTTGTGGAACTCCTCGACCATTTTTTAAGAGGCTTGGAACACATTCAAAACGGACGGCAATTATGAAATGGGGCGAAGTGGAGATGGGGCGAAGTGGGGATGGAGCCGAGTGGTTAGGGGCAACGTGGAAATGGGGCGAAGTGACTGTAACCCATTGACGCCATTGCATCGCATTCCGCCTACAACGAATTTCGGAAACAACGAACGATTCTACTTGGTCTCGCGGATTTCGTAATAACGAGAGTCGACTGTATAGAGGCTTTTAGGGTCCTACACTCTCGTCATGATATATTCACGATGGAATATCCTTATTTTGGTTGGCAAAATATATTTCCAATAGTATTTTGTTCATTAGCGTAGGTACTGTACGGATTCTTGGGTCCATTTAATCACCTACATGCACCCCACAGTATTGTCTACGTATACAGTCGGTGCACACTGTAAACATAAATACACGAGAAGAATCTCCAATACATGATGTCCAAATGCCCCAAACTACTGCCTTTTAATTTGACCTGTGGCACTTTAACCTATAAGCATGTTTGATAGTGGCATGTAGAGTTTTCACCCACAAGTAGTGAACCTGATTTTAACAAATTAACTGAACAGTTGAATGCTTTTGGCATGAAAGGGTTACATAGTTTCCGTGTACTGATTGTTGTAATTTTGCCCACAAAAAGAAGTTTTCGTTCTTGAATTCACTCCTTAGCCTTCTTCAGAAATCCATACTTTCCTTTTCGTCTGTTTTGGGCTCCGGATTATTCACGTAGCTGCAGGTATTAGGTTCTTGTTTCAAATCATCGCCTAAAGAGTCTTCATAGATACCACTGTCTTCAATTAATTTGTAACCTTTTTTTCGTGGCCAAAAAATCTGCAAGATCCTGCAATGGAGACAAAAATATTATTGAAATATGATTTGTGGTGGAATGGATACAAGAATAAAGTCTGTTTATTGTAGAGTGAGAAAATAACAAGATTATCTTCAAACCTCACTCTTGTAAACCACTCATATTCGTTAAAAAAATGTTCGTAAATGTTCTGACTAGGCCCATTTCTTTAGTAACTGAGGCTTCTAAAAATCACACTCAAGTGTGCTGAGCTTCATTACATATTATATTTAGCGCCGACGAAGGAGCCCTGCGTACTGGTACATGAATACATGACGCTACAAAGCTATAGCAATTGTAAGTGTTTTTCGGGGGAAACACATTAAAAAGGAGTTAGACGGTTTCCTTTTCATTAAAAAGCCAATTCAGGTTCTGGACTTCATTATTTCCTGGTTTTTCTTCACTTTATTGTACCCTGTTTAATTCTGAATTCAGAAAGGGGATGATTTTCAAACGATTATAAGGTTTCCTTTCCGAATTCATATACATGTATTATAGGTCAGTGCTTGTTTATTCAAAGGGAAAGGACACAGTCAAATAAGAAGCATGAATTCATTTGTAGCTTAATATTTGACATAATAAAGTAAGGATAAAGTACACTACTTACAGTACGATACCACTTGGAATGAAGGACAGGCCAGATAAAACATAGAAGATGGCAGGTGACATGTAGGATACGGTAGCTGCGTAGATGCTAGGTGTCATAAGAGAAGAAGCAAACCCTGATAAATTGTCCATGCAAGCAACAATAGCGAAAGCTGCACCTGGGAGGGGATAAAAGAAAGTGATAAGGTAGAATCAGAGGCGTAACTGGATCATTCCATGAGGTTGGGGCACAATTTGTGATGGTGTCCATTGTCACGTGGGTTCCGTAAAAATGAACAGCTATTTCCCAGCCTGTGGATTCCAAATTATACATCTTGCAAAGCTGAATACAGAGGTATGTGTTACTTTTACAGAGTAAATGACCTCTACAGTTCATGACAGGTGGTTAAAGTTACCCATGTAACAAGGATACCGTCACAAATTGTGCCCCGACCCCATGCAATGACCCAACTATGGATGGACGGGGGAGCCATTGGGGCATGTACCACTCAGTGGAAGTCCGTCCTGGGCCCAGGTAGCCCTATTCATGGTGTCGCCAGGAGGAACCACTTTTTTAGGGGGATTTTCTGGGGGTGCAAAGCACTCAAAAATACACCTAGAAGGGGTCAACTTAGCGGTTTTCCTTAAGCATCTTGGTGATTTTCATCCATTTCACCTCCATTTTGCATTTCTTTCGCTTTTTAAAATCTTACTCTTCCCTTTTTCATTTTCAATTTTTTTACTAGGGAGGCAGTGCCTCCCTTGCCCCGTCTTGCGACGCCCTTACCTCTTTTTCAAATTTTGAAACTTACGCAACATATTACAACTACAGCTCCTTTGCTTTGAAAACCTGTAGGCCTATGTACACTTCTGAGTGACTACTCAGAAATTCCACCCTAATTAAGTACGCCACTAGACAGAATAAATAACCAATCAGCTATAACCCTCATCACATTTGTTTAGATAAATGAGTACTCACCAATTTCGCTTGGATTTACAAGTTTGGAGAGGACTGACCGTGCGATCGGAACTGCCATCCCTCGAAGAGCACCTACGCCATTCGCTGAAAGATAGACAATTAGTGAGAACAATTAACTCGATCAGGAATACACTAAGTCCATCTTCAGAAAGTGCTGAATTTATTCATCAACTATTGATGAATTGTATTTAATTGTAATTTTATATAGGAACGTATGCATTTTGCATGCGGAACCAGGACGACCGATTCAACCGATGCGTCTGACACTGCTCATATTGACCTATGAAATTCGAAGAACAGTATAAAATGGGGACAAGGTATCCCTGTCGGCTCTCCAGGGATCACACAACTGTCCCCGCACACATGGGGAAAACACAGGATATGCAAGACATTGATAATCGCAGACACTGAGAACCAGACTCATTTTAACAAGTTTGCGGAGGATATTTGTGCAATCTAATTTCCCAAAATCTGTCAAAACTGTATATAAAGAACAGTTTAACTGGACAGTTTCAAAAAACGGGGGCGCATTTCTGATAATTCTAGTAGGCCATTCACGTCATAACTCATAGCCTATTCTTCCTTTTTTTTCTGTCAAAAACATCTGTGTATTTATCGGATGGACTATCTGCTCAATCAAAAAGTTTCCAGGATAGAAATGCATCTCTGGGAAGCTCCGCCCTCGATGGTGGACACTTACCTACGAAGATTAATAACGTCGTTTTCGCCACACTCATAACAACGTTAGAAGCAAGAAGACTCAGACAGCTAATCTGCATAATGAAATACTCCCCCAAGCAGAAGGAAAACAGTTTTGTACCAACCACCATTCCTGCAGAAAACAGGTTCACCAAGTTTAGTTTATGGGACAGCTGAAATCTTAGGAGAATCAGAATACGTAATCGGACTTTTGGAGTAAGGTTCCCTTAGGCCTAATCCATTCAGAACTGAGTGAAGTTAAGAAACCTAAGCTTACCTAGAGAGCCGGTAACAAAACCAAATGATCCTGCCAATCCTGCAGTTACAGCAGACCAGCAGAACGGTTTAGCTGTGCCGTACAGAATGAAGATGGACATGACTCCATTGATATTCAGCATGACAAAGAACAAGAAGAGATCTAGGAGAAGCATCTGCCATCGACGGCCGTTCTCATTGAACCTGAAAAGATTCATCACACTCCTTGTAGCATCTTTGATCCCTTTGCGATGTTCCGGAACGTTTTCACGGTCTACTGTCTCAATCAGAATGCATGGAGTGGTAATGTAAATCAAGCATAAAACATTGAACCCAAGTGCCATTGCCAAAGGTGGGATGGGCCCGATATCTTGCAATAAGTAACCAGCACCAACTTGGACAAAACCACCGACGAAAAACACTAACATCTCTGCCACTGCTATTCGCATAGTTCTGTGATTCTCAGACGAAATGTCACTGATATACGAGAGGCATCCAGCAAACAGCAACCCGAAGCCACCGGTAACTCCTTGCAAGAATTCACCAACAAACAGAACTGGTAATGGGAGTTTGTAGTGAACGGTGAGAACATATACAGTTTCCTGACAGATGTAACCGATAACTGGAATGACTAAACATAGCTTCCTACCTAGTCGATCGCTCACTGTGCCAAGGGTAATTGAACTCACTACAATAGGTATATTCATAGCAGTTGTCAAGTACAGAATCCAAAGAGAGGCCTGTGACTGGATTTCATCCTCCATAGTGCCGCCATCGCTGTTGTTAGCTTGGCACCTGGAGAATTCCTCTTGCTTGGTAATGTTGAACATCGATTCACCAAGTCGTCCTTTCAGGTAGAATGGCCGAATTAGTCCAATGGAAATGTATCCGACTACCGCCAATGCAACGACGGGTTCTACCGTAACCCATCGGCGCCGCGCCCTCTCGCGATCAGACATCGTTTTCGCTGGTAAGATGGGAGTTAGTTCTGTCTGCCTGTCTGCCATTCCTCAGTTTCAGAGGCGAGCTTCAACAAATAAAGAAAAATGCATCATTGACCAATTCTCCAACTGCATCTTTTTCACCATTTAGATCGCTCACATAAATCATTTATAAATCACAGCGGAGAGAAACAGCATCGATACAGCTTTTACTCCGTCTAATAATAATTACATAAATTGTGTGCAGCAGCGTAAGATGAGCGCATTTTGTTTTCTGTACCTCCACAGGTATACCGATTTACGCTCTTGGGTGGAGAGCTGCCATGGCAGTGCAGTGTCTACGCCCAGCTAGAACACAAGCACCGCGCAATGGTACACACTTACATTTGACCGACATTCCATCGCACACGAGAATATCACAGCCATAAGGACGACGCTGCTCAGAGCGTGTACGGTTTCCACATTTAGTACAGTGATGCAAACGATTCCTACGCTTACCAAATAAAAGAGGCTACGAATTCATTCCAGTTGGACTTGTTCCCATGTAGATGTATACCTACGGGGCACTGTGCTGCTTCTTCGAAGATGCCAAACGGAATTTAAAGCCTTGTAATTTAACTTCAAATGGGCTTCGATCCATTTATCTGAAGGGAAGTTATACGAGCACCTGTTTACAATGCCAAATCGTAAACTTATAAAATGAATGTCCACTTAAACGGAACACTGGTTAAAATAATCCTACCTTGAATGTAAAACAAGGGCCTGTTGACGACAAGTAAAAATTCAAAGCTAGTTTTGTTCTTTATACGCAACCTTCACGTCATTCTTTTGCTATATTGCGTATGAAAATGGTATGAAAATACGCCCGCACAAATCTCAATGGTTACATCTACACCATTCCGACCACTATGATCTGGGGCACAAAGTTCAAGTATTCAGCTCTGAATTTAGAAGATAAGCGAAATCAAACAAAATGACATAAAGGCTACTGCAAACGTCTCTCAGTTATATGCCACACAAAGTTTTCTTTTAATAGCACAAAACGGCGCACTTTAGTTTTTTTTCTTTTGAGCCGCACAATAAATAAAACACTTCATTGAGATCTGATATCTTCAAAACCCTCATAAAAATAATCAGTGAGAAATTTATGATTAAATCAATTACTTACAAACATGGAAACAAAGTCACATTAACTCTTGCTTAACTTTGAATAACAAGAACTGGATAGTTTGATTCTAGAGATTATTTCAAATCAGTTACGTGATGGTTGTCTCTAAATGTTTTATCGTATATCCTGCAATTATGTTGCATTATACAAAATGTTAATGGGTGAACGGTATTTAAAGTGACAATAATTTCAATGAACATTCAATTTGTCACCGAATGAAACTATTCTTTCCATAGCACAAATCCTTTCTATGGTGTCGGGCAGTGCGCAAACTAAAGTATCCACAAGGGATGAGGTAGCCGTTTGCCGATTGTCTTTAAAGATTGCACCTTATCTCAAAATAATAGTCTTGCCCCCTCTGCTGTCAGTCAAGAGATTTTTCTGTCTATTGAGAGGCACAGTTAAGTTTATATCTTTTTCTGTTCAAGTTGTGATTCCAAATTTCGAACACATTCCTGAAAAAAGGGTTAATCGTTTACTTATTAACATTCACTTATACAACAATAAATCATCAAAGAAACTGAGATTTTCTCCGTGGGTTGACAACACAGTTTGCTCATGAATATGGAAATTTTCAGTTGCATAATTAACCTTATGACGCACAATACCCTTAAAAGAGCAAAACCGAAATTCAAAATGCTGAGGTTAATTGAAACAAAAAGGTTTGTTCTCAAGGGTTGTGGTGAAATAATTCCATTGCTTGGAGACCGTATAAGTGTGAAACATTTTCAACAGATCGAAAGGATAAACTGATCTGACAGCATTTATAGTAAGATCAGGAAATCATTCACCATAACCATAGGGTGTATCGATCTACGGGGAATGGTGTATACCATAGGGTGTTCAATCTACAGGGATGGTGTATACCATAGGGTGTATCAATCTACCGGGAATGGTGTATACCATAGGGTGTTCAATCTACAGGGATGGTGTATACCATAGGGTGTTCAATCTACAGGGACGGTGTATACCATAGGGTGTATCAATCTACCGGGAATGGTGTATACCATAGGGTGTTCAATCTACAGGGATGGTGTATACCATAGGGTGTATCAATCTACCGGGATGGTGTATACCATAGGGTGTATCAATCTACAGGGATGGTGTATACCATAGGGTGTATCAATCTACGGGGAATGGTGTATACCATAGGGTGTATCAATCTACCGGGAATGTTGTATACCATAGGGTGTTCAATCTACAGGGATGGTGTATACCATAGGGTGTATCAATCTACGGGGAATGGTGTATACCATAGGGTGTATCAATCTACCGGGAATGGTGTATAGGGGCCTAATTACATTTCCCACACTTTAGGCCGGGAGGATGGGACATTTCATCTTTCTACTTTTCAGTGATGCAAAAAAATTTGTAAGTTTGAGGTAACAGTGCTGGTACTGTCTGTAAGCCAAAATTTTCAAAATACATGTAACAATGAAGACGTTATACAAATAGCACACAAACTTGAAAAATACATGTTCAGGCACAAAAACACGCAGTGTAGAAAAGGTGTACATGTACATAGCATCTTTGTCGTGCACAGCACCCGCAGTATAATGTTAAGTGGTGTCCAGCCACACCCAACTCTCTTTCTCCCCCGCTGTTTCCACAATTTCCACAACCGGATAATTTCAAAACTTTTTACTTTCTCAGATATATCCCATTGGGCGCCCTTAGGACTTTATTAGTAAAAAAATATCAAACTAAAATAAATACATGTATGACGAAACTAGTATATATAAAACGAAACAAATAATTAAAGTACGAAAGAAATATCAAGAAACATAAATACAATACGAAACCAATCTATATTTGGACAAAAGTACATTTAAAGACAAAAGTGATTTATATAAGACGAAAACTAATAAATATACGACCAAACTCATATAAACGACGAAAAGAACAAAACTAATATATATCGGACAAAACTCATATATATAGGATGAAAGGACTGGTAATAAAAATTGAACGAAAATAAAAAATATAAAATGAAAAAAATTAATAGGACGAAGCGCCGCCACCTCGACGCCAGACCGGTTGTGATATTCGAGCAAAATGTAAAATATATAGAACCAAAACGTTAACTATGCAGAACGAAAACTTAAAAATATATAAGACGAAGCGTCATCCACGATGTCGCTCGTAACTGGAATCATGATACAGAGCTTTTTCAATTGTACCGAAGTGATTTGGAGCCATTATTATTCCGAAGTGTTAGGACCATACGGAACAATTGACCAAGCCGCAAAGCAAATGTAGGCCACACTGGAACGTTGCTACATGGTTGCTGCCTGGTCATCCCGATTGTGATTGACCACGTTCTTGACTGCCAGTGTCAAGCATTACGTAACACGGACACCAGAAGCAGTTGGCCTAGGCCCATTGCCAGTGGGTATTCATGTAACATTAGAAGCAACAAATTCATGGAAAGCAGGCTTTTTCAGGAGGTAACTACTTCTCGTACACGAACGTTCACATTTTCCAACTCTCGAGGCATGGTTCATGATCAGAGCTCCACTCGTTTCGATAAAATCTCTATAGGCCTAACTAGTAAAACACGAGTGTCGGGGAAAGAGTTCCATAAGAGTTACGGACAACACTAATTTTCTATTAAAATGGTGTAACAGCAGTCAGAAAGTGATTACATGTCCCAAAAAGTGAAATTTAGCAAGGAAAATGCCGAAGCATTTACTTAGACAAGTCTCTCAGGTTTGTGCACAGGAGCATCAAGTGTTGTCCGTATACCTCTTTCCGTGTCGAGCATGGCGCGCGCGCGGGCACAACGTCCGCGACCGGTCGGCAATATTATTTTATTTCGTCTTACATATTTTACGTTTTCGTTCTACATTATTATTTTACATTTTGCCCCATAGCTCAACTGGTCTGGCGTTGAGGTGGCGGCGCTTCGTCCTATTAGTTTCCTTCTATATTTTTTAGTTTCGTTCTATATGTTTAGTTTCGTTCTATATTTATTACTTTCATTTTGTCCTAATTTTTTTTGTTCTATATTTATTAGTTTCGTCATTTATGTAGATGAGTTTAGTCGTATATGTATGAATTTTCCTCCTATATAAATCACCTTTGTCCTTTAAATGTACTTTTGTCGCATATATACATTGGTTTCCTATTATTTATTTCTTTCGTCCTTTATATGTTTGTTTCGTTTTAGATTTATTTAAATAAGTTTCGTCATATATGTATTATTTAATTTTCGTTTGATTTGTTTGGACTAATAAAGTCATAAAGGGCGCCTCCCATATTTTTCTACAAGAAACTTCGGACTTACCTTCTGGTGGTAATTTTTTGCACTTACATACAGCCAGCCATAAAACGCTCCATGAATGTATGAGTGGAAAACTCGCTATAAAGGAGAAATAGCTCGACAAGTGAATATTTTTCCTCCCTATGTCAGACCTTCGAAAACAATTTGACAACAGAGGTGGGTCCAGGATTTTTTGCTGGGAGGGAGGGGTTTTAAAATTTGTATTCGAACAAGAAGGAGGAGGGTTACTCCATGCAGTCGTTGTCGTTGGTGAAACCACTTCATCTCTTTTATTTTGCCCTCAAACGTACACTCAAAAGTTGTAAACGTAGGCCGCAAATGGATACTGCTGCAGTAACGTAGTACGAAAGAAAGGTGGGCCTGCGGACAACTGCAGGACGTCACGAGGATGCCACCACCTTGTCATCTGAGGGCGCTCTTTCTCTCCTGGCCGCCGCGCCGCGCCGCGGCGCCGCGCCGGGCCGTATGTGCATGCGGATTGAACGGAACGTACGTGGGGTGATCGTCGGAACTGCATTGAAACATTTTGCTTGTATCTTCAGATGTGGATATGGCCGGAAAGGTAATGAAGATATAACATATTTCGTGCGAGGTGTTTTTGTAAGGCTTGAGTTGGAAAATCGTTTAAAAGTTCCATTTATGGACAAGGCTACAGACATCACTTGATAGCCATGGTATAGCATACTCAGCATAGCAAGCATTGGACCTGATGTGACCATACCCGGTACACTACCACTACCAGGCCTAGCACTAGTAAGTAGTGGGCCTACTACTAGGCTACCCAGGTGGAGCAGTGACTTGCAGAAGTACATGTACATAACATTATAGTATTTAATACCCTCCACACAAAATTGGACTCTATGTCATTAGACTGATCTGTTGGTAAACACTCCAATATTTTTGTTGCAATATTTGACGATGATTCGACATGATTTGGGACATACCATGACTTTCTGATTGCTGATTTACACCTTTTATGAATCATCACTTTGTTATTAGGGAAAAATTAGTGATGTCTACAGGCCTAGGCTATATCATGGAACTCTTAATCTATATTTAGCCTTACTGAAAGCCAGCATTTACCATGTGAAACCTAGCCCCGCTAGTGTGGCACGGACTCTCACTCGACGACCTTATTTTAAAGATGGCGACTGTGAGAGTGGGCCCGTTAGATTGAATGGATGAAGGGAAAAAGACTGCAAAATATCTGAATAACGTGAGTGAAATCATTCAATAAATGGTATTTAGAAAACGGAAAGGTCAAGAATCATGTTAGTGTGCAAAAGAAATTGCGCCCACGATTATAAGTTGGTGCTCCAAAAATGTTCATTTCGCCGTCACGAAATTGCGCATACGGATGTGTGGCTAAGGATGGATCGGGAGTGAGAGTCCGTGCCACACTAGTGGGGCTATGTGAAACCCTACTTTCATGATTTCCAGAAACGCCATGTGCCTTCAAGTTACAGTACTAACGTTAGGCTAGTCCCATAAGCTTTATTGCTAATACCACATGGGTGAATTTGCATAAAGGTAGAAAGACATGCACTGTGGGAAGGGAAAAGGGACGAACGTCGCCCCTTTTCTTTCCAACAGCGCCTATCTATCATTGTGCAAAATCACTCATGCAATATTAGCAATTAGGCTTATAAACAGGGCCTGTCGTCAGTAGAAGAGTATGTGTGACCCGCTCCATGTCGCACCATGCATTTACGAGCAATGTTGGATTAAAAATACTAATTCCTTAGTTCTTGTGCGAATTTTTAAGGTGGTTGTAACACAAGAGCATGTTGGTTGCTAAGTAAGATTTCAATGCCTACAACCCACATCAGAGCCAGATATTTCAAAGCCTGTTTTCTTGGTTTTTGCAATTTCAGTTGCCTGGAACTAATTAATATGCAAATGTGTCATAACTCTAGAACGGGAAAGGCTACGGAGCTCTATCATATACCAAATGAAAGCTTACAATGTGGGCTTTCCAGTCATGTATTTAACTTGATTTATTATTTTTTTTCAACTTATATATCACCTTTTCCTGGAGCGGGTCACATATGAAAGGCCCTATTTACAGGTCTGTTAGGCCTACCAGCCCAGTACTACTGTTTATGAGTTCATGATGCTACAGGGTTTTGAATACAGCCCAGTGATATCAAATGGAAAGAATTCCATGTACAGACAGCACTAGGGTTCCATACAGTTACCATGGTTACCTACTAACTCTTTAGAAGGAATTACATTATTAGCGGCACTTGGACCCATTGGCTGTTGCTTGTTGTTCGTACCATTTAGGCATAAATAATGAGGAGCCCTGTGATTGGTCATTGGTCTCAACCCCAGCACGCCGCAGCCAGCTGCCATTTCAACCAGTCAGGCCAGTCGTGGCTATGCGCATACATATTACATACAAGAAGCGGCTGCAGCCATTTTCCATATCTTGTGTATATTGATTGCAGCCATAGTCAACCATTTGGTTGCGGCTTATTGTATCTTCACATGTACATGTACAGATATGAATTGCATAACTCTCGTACACTGATCAGGAAATATTTGTACCTTTTCTTGGAAATCAGCATGATTTTGACCCATTTTTTTCTTGATACATAGTATGAAGCTATGTACATGTAACCTAAAAAAAGTTCTCCCGAAACCTATGTTTCGAGGAGTACCAAAGAGGGCGCGCAGAATCGGTAGTCCAACCAAACCAAACCAAACCAAACCAACCAAATTATTTTGTCGGCCAAACAAATGTTCCAGGCTGCCAGCCCAACGGGCAAGCACCTGTTTTCCGCAACACATTTTTTCGCCCGGCGTTTTGGACATTTCAGCACCATGCACTGAAACAAGATTGCAAAAAAAAGATTGACCTCCTAACCTTGATGTTGCATGACTATACATGTTTGGGTAGGTGCACCGTGGTACGTACGGTCAAATCGTTGAGATGTACAATGCAGTCGCGTCTGTATTCAGTCGTTCTCCTTGTTCCTGATCACTAAAACTATATTCATGTCATATTACAGCTCAATTATCATTAAATTCCAATGAAATGGGGTCAGAGGTCTACCTTGTACATGAGCTTTTAATACAAGATCGACAAAAGTGATGACGACACTTTTCCTAGTTCTGGATCGGTTTAGCCAGTTCTAGATCGCTACACATAAAAAGTAGTCAAGCTTAAACCCATTTCTCTGCCAAAACCATTGTAACAAGCATATTTTCTCGTAAAGCAAGTCTTCTTTTAAAGGGATTAGTTTATATATTAGAATTTCAGTGCATCAACATGGATAGCCTGCATAAATTTTGACTTGACTTTGCTGCTCAGTGAGCCGTCGACCACAAATCCCCCCACGCCGCAAAGTTGATGAACCCATTATGTCACGTACAATCTGTTAGGCACAAGTTGAGTTCATGACGTTCATACATGTAGGCCTACTGGCATGCGCGATCCGAAACTAGGAAAAACATTCATGGAATGTTACGCAGTGAGTGACCCACCGACCTGTAAAACTTCCTTGTCGGGCAACTGAAAATGAAGTTCTGGCAACCAGATTTTAGACTCCCCTGCCTGTAGGGCAACTACATTTTTTAAACTTTCGTGAGCCCTACAAGAAGCAGACAAGTTCCAAGAAGGGCTGGGAGTATTGTGAGACTCTCAGCCTTATAACTGCCATGGAAAATGCCGCGATTATGGCGAAAATGGATGGCATGGTCCACAATAGCCACGTGTGGTGGGAAGTCGCGGGATTTAGGACGTAGTCGGGGACTTACGACCATTTTTCAACGGTATTTTTTAGCCATTGTGCTCTCAGATGAAAGCCCAAATACCCAGGGAGTTGATTCTGGCAAAGATTTACACAATCTCACCATTTTTGGAGCCATACAACCTCCTTTTTCAAAAAAGGGGGCACTTTTAATGCTAATGAGCTGGCCAGAAATTCTCGCTTGAATTAGTGGACCGCATCCAAAAGGGCGCTCATGCACTGTGTGGGGTTGGAGGTCACTACGCATGTGCACCGTGTAGGTTATCGCAGGGGACATAGTACAATAAACAGTGTGTACATTCACACAACCGTTTCTCATGGGTTGCTTGAGAAATCTTCCGCTAGTGGGACC